TTCTTTTGTCATTCTTTAACATTTAGTGCAACTTTCCTGCAGGACGAACAGACGAGAGGAAGCAAGCAGAAGTTAAATAATGAGTTTCCTTTCTGTTCGGTTCCCTCTGTGTTGTTTTGGTTTCCTTGTCGGTGAGGCAAAGGCAACAAGCTGTGTGCCACATGTTCCTGAGAGGGAAATGAAGAGATTACTGCGAGACTATGATCTGAGTTCTGCAAACAGACACTCTTTCCAAGAATAATTGCTTTAAGAGGCTATTCGGGCATTAGAGTACTCTAGAGCCCCAAATCAGCTGTTTTTCTACAGGGCTTTACAGTGTGTGTGTGTGTGTGGAGGTCAGATAGAGTAACCTGTGCGGCTCTCCCAGGTGGCCTCTAAGTGCATGATAGCATATGTGTGTGTATAAGACTGTGGCAAATATTAAGTTTCAGTCAGAGCAAATTGTGATATTGTTTATATATATATAAAAAAAGGGGACCACGATTACCGAACAAGCTACAATTGACTGTTCGCTAAACCCGACTCCAAAACAGTGATTGTACGCTATTAGCAAAGCAAACGTATCTAGCTGTGTGCGCTGTAGTAACAGAAACACTCTTTCTTTTTAGCTTTTACGATCCAAAAACACAAGATTAAACTAGCTGTGTTTGTACGGCTAACTAACTTACTAGGTACAGGAGCAAGCGTCCCTACAAATGATAAAAGTTTAACAGCATAACACAGTTTGCAGGATTACAGGTTACGTTAAAACTCCCCACTGCAAGTTAATAGAATAGAATCTCTTTAAAAACGGAGGTGTTTGAGGCTTTTCCAACCCTTATCTTTCAGATCCGTCCAGCCATCTCAACTATTAATTTGAACCATGTGGAACTGGAACTGGATGTGGCCAGTTCACATCCAGTTCCCAGTTCCAATCCAGTTCCCAGTCTCCACATCCAGTTTCAAGTTCCACATCCAGTTCCAGTCCCACATCCAGTTCAAGTTCACATCCAGTTCAGGTTCCACATGGTGTTCAAATTAATAGTTTGAGATGGACTGACGGATCTGAAAGATAAGGCGTGGAAAAGCCTCAAACACCTCGTTTTTAAAGAGATTCTATTCTTATTAACTTGCAAGTGGGAGTTTTACGTAACCTGTAATCCTGCAAACTGTGTTTGCTGTAAACTTTCCCGTCATTTGTTTTGTGGACCTGTTTTGCTGACCTGACATCTCCTGTATTAGTTATGTATCTATGAGCTTCAGTTAACGCTACAACAACTATCGTGGTTCGCTAACATTTTTATCGTATTGTCGCATAGGCATAAACTCACCACGTTTGTATTGTTCTCCCC